ACTAGTGCCTGACAATTAACCTTCATCAATCTCCTCCTGGCAAAAGATGAAAACTATGACACCCTAAAGAGGAAATGCAGACTTTGATTTCATTACTTGGGCCTTTTCTAGAAGAGATTCACAGTATTCTGGTGAGCATTTTTCTTTTGCTTACAACACAAGTCTGATGGTGGTTACCCAGTTTCACTGTTCACCTATTTTTTCAGAGATTGCATCGCTTGGATATGTTGAAGTCCTATGAGGAGAAATTTCGGAAACAAATCAAAACGATGTACAGAGTTTGGTTATGTAGCTTTAGATTTTTACGACTACATTTTCTGTTATGTAAATATAAAGCGTAATTTTGTCTAACAGATATATCTATATAATCTTCTATATTATAAGTAAAATTCTATGTCTTGTAAGATATCCTCTTATTGAATCTTTAACTTATTTACATTTGAAAATAGAATTCTCATATAATTCATAGGCATTTATGTAAAACTAGTCTTGTTAGTCCAACAAAAATTTACGTGTATGATTCTGCAAATCATGCTTTGATTACACGTTTAAATCTGGAAGATCTGAGTAAAAGATTGTTAAGAAAATCATGCTGTGGTGAGTAACTGATATGAGGAAAAAATTTGGCATAACCGAATTTATAATAGAATATGCATCCATGACAGTGTTCTCAGAATTAGCTTATAAATGAAGATATAATGCTTTCATGGCAGTACCTAAACCCTAAACCCTAAACCACACCATCCTGACTCAGTATGAATTTCAACATCAAGTCAACAATATTTTTTACACAAACTGCCATCTCTTCATCTGCCTCTCACTTTGTTTAAAAGAATGCAGAACTATCCTCCATGAAACTTGTTTAAGATTATTTGTTAGCAGTCAGTTTTTCTTTGCATAACATCACAAAAGTTAGCCACAGAGCGTAAAAAGTTCTACGGACTTAAACTGGATGAATTTTTTCAAAGATACCCAACGGGTCGATGCCTAATTTGGCGACATTTGGATTCGAAGACTTGTGAGGAGGATCATGAAGTGCAATGAGGGCTGCAACTAAACCTGCATTGCTTGCTATGGTTGGTTCAGTGAACAATGGTTTGCCCCTTTCATCAGAGAAATTATCAAATTCATCTGGTCCTGCTACCATGGCCCCCAAAAGAACATTAGGATTTGGTTCTTTTGAGTTTAGCCATCTATCTCCCTCTTCACAAGAGTGATATTGTCCATCCCAAGGAATTGATGCACTCCTGTGGTGAACTTGTGTTGGATAGTGGTCTCCAAAGCCAACCATGTAGCTCATTTTCATAGGATTATCTCCTAATATGTAATTGACCTATAAAAAAGAGGGAAAATTAGAAGACCCTTTATGTAAAGAAGGGGAAAGTTTATTTTGCTGCATAATCAGAACCTGGAAGCCTGATATACTTAACCTGAGACATTGAGAAGCTCCTCAAATTTTCAAGGGAGAATCTATCACTGCTGCAAACACCACCCGATCGCCGCAGGAGCTCAAGGTAATCACTGTATAACTTACTGAGGAAAGATGCTGCTGCAGCAAACTGAAGTGGTTGACCATAAGCAGGCTTTAAGAGGATCAATCCACCTACATTAAGAAAATTTTATGAAGTTATAAACCATTAAATTTCCAGCCACTATATTGAATCCATGCATTTTCATGTAAAAAAGTGTACATATTCATATACAATTGATGAAGTTTTACCTTTTGTCTTATTGAACATCTGATCAGAAAGATAAGAACACATCAACTGCTCAGTCCTTTTTGATGAAGATCCCAAGGCATCTTCATAAGGGTAGCCAACATCACGAAAGAACTGAACTCTAGCTAACAAAACCTGCAATTCATACTTAGAAATTATGTCAGCTTTCACTCAAAGACACATTTCAATTCTTCAAAAACTCCATGAAGTCTTGATTAATTAAATTACCGCGTTAGCAGTGAGCTTGTTGTTCCAATAGAATCTCCCTTTCTCGGATATTTTTTCTTCATCTGCAGCTTCTTTAAACCTCCTGGTGGCATATTCAAGGTAAGAAATGTTCCCAGTAGCAAAGGACAACCAAGTTCCTCCCCAAACTAACTCATCTATGTAGCTAGTTGAGTTGTAAAACTCTCTTGCTTCTCCGCCACAATCTTCAACCTCAGTGTAAGTTCCTTGCTTGTGGCCGCCGTCTTCTTCCACAGTCGCCGCACTGTATAACGTCTCTGCCGCTTTGATTAATTGTCCAGAGTATTCCTTCTGTTCTCTGAATACCATTGATGCTGCTGATAGCGCTGCGATAATTTCCCCTGCAAGATCTGAAGCTGCGCTATCACACATCGAAACAGGTCTCTTATAGCTCATGTCTTCAGGTCTTTGCCAGCAATTTATGTCATTTCTAACCCCAGTGTGATTGCCTGCACCGACCTAAAATCACAATACAATATCTCCAGTAAATTTGCATTTCGAGATAAATAACAATGACCATAGAACATTAGATAAAAAGGCTTGCCTGAGAATAAAGTACTGTTTTATCAGAAGTGGAATTTGTGACCTTGAGCAAATAGTCACTACCCCATTTGATAATATCCTTGATATGGTCAAGCTCACCTATATCAGCATATTTTTCATGGTATTCAATAACAGTCCAGCTCAAGAGTGTTACAGTATAAGCTGTAGGAAAACTGAACTTGATATTGCTTCCAGAATCATAAAATCCACCCATAAGGTCAATGTTACTCTCACTGCCATCTTTCAATCCTGAATTTCCTCGAAATTTTACCGGACTGTTAGATGGGTAACTCCCAGCTGCAAAAAGAATTCTTTTAAGAATCTTAAGAGAAAAGAAGATGGTTTAGAAGAACAAAAGAGTACAGAAAATTACACTTCTGAGCATCATAAAACGTTAGAGCTTGGCTCAATGCAAGTGTGAGATTCTTCGAAGTTTCATGGTGGTGATGTTTGCGAGGCAAGAAATGCAGCAAGAGAACAAGTAAAGGAATTAAAAAGAGTACCGAGACAGAGATGAAAACAAAACGTTTGAAGCACTTTCTATCAGTGATAATAAGATCATGATCGAAAGATTTCGAGTATCTTGAAGGGAGTGAATCATATCCAGTGGAAGATTTAGGGGCAAGGTTGAATTCAATTTCTATAGAGTTCCATCTACTAGCTGAAGGGAGAAGCCGACCCGCCTCGGAAACTGAATGCACAAACCTGACAGGGTGCATTTCTGCATCAGATGCAGAGGTATGTGTAGGCGAACCTAGAGAGTACGGCATAATTGATGAATATGATGGTTTCCAGGAAAGTTTTATACAAGAAAAAACAAAAAGAAAAAAATGACAATTCCAAGGCTGAGATATCGATTGATTGTAACAATTCCAAGCTCTTCTTTACAAGCAATTGTTGTTCTCAGGCTGCAAGAATCAGTGCACAGTAATGTTTCTTTCTTGAAGTAAATAAAATTTGTGTGTTTCTTTTATGCTCTCTGGGGTACCATCTTTTTTTTGTGATGAACTTTCCATTTCATACAAATGACATGTGCTGTTACGTATCCATTTGACAATGGATAACTGTAATCTGTAGATATTTCTTTTAGGACTTATCGTAGGATTTTATTTTTGTATTATTATACATACACGTTTCTGGTAGAATATAAGAGATATATAGTAATTTATTATCAGAAAATTACTGATATGTTTTCCAGGAGGCCTTGGGTTCTTTCACTGAACATGTAACTGCAAGGAGAGGCTGTTAACTTAATAATTTCACAACAGATGTCAGGTCAAAGTCAATTAAATTTATTAATGATCTGTCTTGAAAGAGGGTTAGAAAACTGCCATAGTTATTACGGTGAATTCAATGCAGATTAATTTGTCTCTCTTCATGGTTGCTAGCTTGTTCCGTGAGGGTGGGAGAGACAGAGAAGTTTTTATGATTTATTTATGTAATCCTGAAAGCCTCAGCCGTCCAAACCGCACAAAATGCCACTGGGAAACAAGGAACTTCAACTTCTCTTTAGTTGGAATTGTCTAATAGCTGCTGCCTTCAATTATTTTGTTGCCAAAAAGGCATTATTCTTGCATAAATTCCCATTGAATTAAACTGCCTAGGATTGCAGGCAATCGCAAAAATAGTTCCACTAAGCACAAAGATGCCCACAAAGGGCTGAAACGTTTAAAGGTTTTCTGTATAGACTATAGAGTCCTGAAAAAGTCATTCATTCTAACTTAAGATATTATACAAAGCAAAAAATAAAAAATCCAATTTATTCTTGTGAGAAAATTTTAATTATCATCAGTAATTCGTTATCTATCAACTTGACTCCATTAGACTCATTCTGGATTATAAAAGATATCAAATTCTTTCTATCAAGAGGTTATTAACATAGTTATTTATTTATTTTTATATATCTCAAAAATGAATTATTTAATACCTATAACTGTGATAACATCATGAGATTACAACTTTACGTTTATATCAACAAAGTACATTTATTTTGGGTAGACCATAATTGTTTTATCTATGTGTTTGATACAAGTTCATCTTAATATAAGCACTTTCTCGTGTGTATTGTGGACCTCATTCAATCTGGGCCTGCAGTGAGTCCATTAAGGCCCAAGTGCACAAAAATCTCTTGTCCTATTCTAGTCTTTGGCCCACCAAGTATGGGCTGAAGTGAAACAAAATTTGTTGGGCTTTCTGATCAGAAAATCCAAATCATAACTGCTACTAGTCTTCTTGTCCACCATCTCCCACAACAACAATTACTCTCAAGTCTCAAGGTCCAGTCTTCTTTTCCTATTCAAGGTCAAGCTGCTAACATAAAATGTAATGAATCAAAATGGGGATCTCGTACTACAATTAACAAGCACAAACAACCTTCTTTGGATCTTCTCTCTACTCAAACCAAATAAACTCAAAACATCTTGGTGAGGTTTCTGTCCTCATTTTAGTCATATATTTTAACCATATACGCTTAATGATCTGTGATCCATACGCTTAATGATCTGTGATCCCATTTCATAATTTTTTTAGATTCTCGTCTGGGTATGCTTGAATTTGCTCGATTTGCTAACCCATTAGCTGAATTAGCATTATAATGAGCAGTTTTTCATTTGGGTCAAATTCAAATAGTCCCAAGTCCTTCAATGCATACCCAAGAGGTGATTTCGACATAGAATTAGGGACTATTAAAAGAACCCGGAAACCGAAAATGATCAAATCTTTCTCTAATCGCCTTCAATACTTCAAGAAGTTGCATCCACTTGTTGTGCTGTTCATTTCATTGTCAATTGCTGTTACTGTATTGATCATTTTGACTGCATATGAGAGCCATTTTCGGACGATGAGCAGCTACCGAAATTTTGATGTGGGGATTGATAAGTATCCGTTTTCGACGCTAAAGAATCTTGTAATGGTTGCTGGCCACTCTGTTTATACTAGTAGTTGTGGGAAGATTGATAAGGAGGATTCTTGGTTTTTGGAGCCTTATCAGAAGTATCCTGGTCAGGCTGCTAGTTTTGTAACACATATTGAGGAGGGAGTCAAAATAGTGGCCGAAGATGAGGATGCTATACTTTTGTTTAGCGGTGGAGAGACTAGGAAAGATGCCGGTCCTCGTAGTGAGGCACAGAGTTACTGGACTGTTGCCGAATCAAAAGGATGGTTTGGTGAGTTCTTATGCTTTTTTTAAATGTTTTTACTAGCATTGCCATTTTGATAGTGAAATTAAAAATGTTTGTATAGTTATGTTGATTCACCATTTCATTACTGAACTATGGAATCCAGAAAGTTTGTTGCAATAAGAAACGGTTCTCATATTGTAATTTCCTGGATTTTTTTTTCCTGCTCATGCTACCTATATACAACTGTGAAGTATATTTTGATACAACATTAATTCTTTGGATGTTATGGAAGACCCACCAGTAATTATCTTTTAGCCGTGTGGCTTGTTTGACATTCTGAAAGTTAGTTTTTTACAACTCAGGGTCTGTGTCGAGTTTTGACTTCTTTTTTTTTTTTTTTTTTTTTTAAGTAACAGTCTATTTATCTGTGGTTGAAATGAAAAAGAGATGAGTTTTCCATAATATTTATTTAATTCCAAGATGTTTTTGGTTGGCTTGGAGTCATGAAGATATTATTTTACTCCCAAGTGTTTTTATTGTTTTTTAGATAAGTACTTCTAACTTCATATATATTTCTTGGAACTGGTTCCATTACATGAAGGCTCTGAACCATCTGATGTTGATTCTTTGTTGCAATGTGACTTTCTGTCAGGCAAAGAAGAAAGTGTGAAATGGAGGGCAATGACTGAAGAGCATGCAAGAGATAGCTTTGAGAATCTTTTATTTAGTGTCTGTCGGTTCCGCGAACTTACAGGCACATATCCTCATAACATAACTGTAAGTGTGTTGTATTAGAAGTGCCCTGTTTGTTTTATTCATAGCTTTTATATATATACGCAATATATTTGAGATAGGGTAAAAGGATAAAAGGAGTTTCATCGGAATGTTGTTTCATTTTCATTTAGGTACATAGTCTGGCTCCTAGGATGAAATAGAGACAGTAAAATGAAGTGTCTTTATGGCCGTGTTTAGTAGTGTTACAAATCAATTTCACAAAATTTGTACAAGAGGCTCCTTGTATGCAGATTCATGCAGAAGATTAATGTAGAATTGTCCTTGATGATCAAATGAAATATTCTATAATGTTTGGCACGTGTCCTTGTCATCATTAAGTCTGAGTATAATTATATGATAAAGAGGCTATATATGCATCCTTTTCATCTATAACAAAGATGATGGAGGAGGTTCACATCTAGAAGTTCCCAGCTTGCCAATCATTAATCAACCTTTCCTCTTTTTTATTTTTGGTCTTGGCTAATGATAATTTGATCTCAAGCAAAGATAGAACCTGCAATTTCAATCTCCATGATTCTCTTGAAGAGAGACGCCTCTAGGCCCACTGGACATGGATAGCCTGTCCTTTTTTTTTGTGTGTGCAAGCTCAGGCAATTTATCTTTCCTTGTGTGAATGTCTCCATGTTTGTGCGTTTGTGCACCTTAAAATTCTCCACATACTTTAGCCAATATAATAGCCTCGTGTATCTTGGCATGTATTAATTATGTGTTTGTACAGAAGCCAAGTCCATTAGTTTCTATGACAACTTGGTCTGTTCACTTCAGCTTTCTGTTGTTAATTTAGGTATATTAGGTTTTGTCCTTTAACTGTTTAGAAGTTAAACGCTTTCAATATTGTTGCCTATCAACCAGGTTGTAAGTTATGATTTCAAGGAGGGTAGATTTTCACATTTGCATCGCTCCGCCATTGGCTTTCCTGAGTCAAGATTCTTTTACTCTGGCACCCCAGCTTCATCAACTTCCAGAGAGGCAGCCTTGAAAGGTGAGGCATTCGTAAGGTCTCAATTTGAAGAAGATCCATATGGGTGTTCAGGTTCACTTAGACGTAAAAAAGTAGGCCGTGATCCTTTTCATCGGGCAATACCTTACCCCAAAGGATGTCCTGAAATTGAAGGTTTGTTCAGATATTGTGGACCAGCTCCTTATACTGGGTCTCTCCCTTGGGCTCAATTAAATTAACCACTGCATGTTATTTCTCATGATCCGAATGTAATTAATCAACCTAAACAATCGCACGATAGATGCTTGAGCTGATAGTATAATGCTTGTTCAAAATTGTTCTTTTCTCAATTCAAATTATATAAAGGTGAATAGATGAGAATAAATTTGGCTGCAGCTTAGAGAAAAATGTGTTGTCATTATTAGATGAGAGTTAGTAATTGTATTGCTTTGTTTGGGTCCAGAAATGAGAAATTTGCTTTCCAGAACATGTATTGTAGTGAATCTCCTGAAATTGTAGTTTATGTTACTACTAACAAAAGGCGAAATCATTTTTTTTTTTTAGAATGATTTTCTTTTTATCTGTCATTCCATGTTTTATCATAATTTTGGGACTGAAATATTCATAAAACGCCCATGATAAGACGAATCAGCTGATAATGTATGTCCTGTAAGCTTTAAATCAGCTTCACAAATATTCAATCTGAAAGTCATAACAAAGAAAAGAAACAATGCTTCACTTCATTCACCCAAACTGAAGTGCCCAGTTTGAGCATTTATTGTTTGTTTATTAGTGTTACAAAAGCATAGTCTGGCAACATTAGCCGCTAGCCAGGGCTCTTGAATACAGGGCAGCTCGAAGCTACTGCTTCAGCCGAGCCGTCTATTTTAGCACCCTTCAGAGTTCAGAAGACCGCCAAGCAATTCACCACGATCGCAAAATATCTCCACCTTCACAATTTTGAATTTTCATCTCTTCATCCATCTGTTTTACAAAGAAAAGCATTAACCCAAAGTGACAGAACAATAAAGGGAGAAATATTTAGTGTTACTGAAGTTGAAGAGACACCTCAAAAATGCCCGTGCCATAGAATTCTACTAACTCCCCAGTGGGGGCATGCCCTTTAAAAGGACCTTCCATGTAACCCCAGTGCCTGAACTTGTAAACAATATTCGGAAGTCCAGAATAAACCTGGAGAATTTCCAAAGCAAACCGTCTAGGGAAAGTTGTGGTGAGAGCCCTATGTGATGATATTGAAGTTTCATCAGCTGGGTTTGTAGCACCTTTTACTCCGGCAAAGAAGTTTGCAGGAATGCGTTGTAGCCGCCAAGCTTGCTTATATCATCCAAACTTAGCGCTTTCCTTCCCGCAATTGCAAATGATGATAAAAATGTTTAAACAATTACGTGGTGACTCAAATTCATGTATTTCGGTTGGTTAATTACCATTTACACGCTGACAGTATACTCCTTTGGATCAAGTGTTTTAAAGTCTTCAATGTTTACTTTATGGAAATTTTCCATTTCCCATGTTTTTATAAGGTTCTGCACCTTTTCTTCAAGAGATCCAGGAGGCCAAATCTTCCAGGCAGAATCACAGGTTAGATATTTAACACTATTGGGCCATGAACATGAACTAATATATACATAAGATCAATTATAAAAGAGAAACAAAAAGGGAGAGAGACCTTAGTTCTGCCGTCTTCAGGAAGCTTATTGACAACTTCATAGTTAGGAGGTGAACCAAATTGCCATTTGGTATTCTTTTCTATATCTACTTGTAAGAGATAAGGATACTTATCGCCCACAATACCCGAAGTTGCCATCTTATTATTCTAAGCAAGCATAGAGTAGAGTAAACGACTTTTTCCCACCCCAATAATGGCCTAATGACACTTTTCCACCCAAAAAGTTTTAAAATATAACTTTATTACCCAAACGTTATATTTCGTTAATAATTTCCGTTAAATACAATGATATTCATTGCAAAGACAAAAACACATTCTCCCTTCTTCTTCTCTTATCAGGCCTTTTGTCAAACAGTTGGAGTGCCAACTTCAAAATCTCTGGTCTTCAATGCCGGAATCGATCCAAAAGCCCAAAAAAATAACACCAAACACTTCTAAAACATTCCCAATCATCAATTCCATTCAAAAACTCCAAAACTAGCTCCAATCGAGCCCAATAACTCCAAAAGCATAAAAATCCTAGGTGACAGTGGTGGACAGCGAATAGCAAGCAACCGATGCCGGGGTTGTTGAGGGTTTTGGTTGGGGGATGTCGGTGAAGCAGTAGGTGGTGAAGGGGATGATTTTCGGAGCAAGAAGCGACTGGAATTTGGCAAGAAAGTCACAACAGTCGCGTACATCAAAGGTTGAAACCTAGTATTTTGTTAGAGTATGTGCCCTAGAGTCAATCAATTATTGTAAAATTGACTATTTGTAATAATGTTTTTTAATCAATAAAAATCATTTTATTCTATATCGTGTAAATCATAACTATATGTATTGATATATGTCCTTAGGATGGTAGAATCGTGATGGGGGTATCAATTGTTTTAAATCTTGACAGTGAGAACTCTATGATCACATATGGTGGCCATTCTAGAAATGTCCGTAGCCCCATTATTATTCTGACCAAGGACACAAATAATACAGTAAGACTATCATAGTTTTGAATGACCCTGTCGAAAGACAGTAACTGATCTCACTTGTCAAGGTTGTTTGTTGACAGCCTGGTATAACGCATGAGTGCTTATTGTGGGCAAGTTCACTAGACAGACCCACTAGAAGATTCCATATAGATGGTAACCTCAATGTCTATGGAATAAATCCTCTAGCGAATGGTGGTGTATGTAATCCTTAGACTTGATATCACTAGAGCACTTTGTGCATCAATTGGTGTAGTTTGACACTAGCATAACGTAGTTATATTCAAAGCTATCAATACGGTAGTGATTGGCTGCATTGAGTAGTGTATCAAGACTATGGTGGATCGACAAAGAATTCATCACTCCTAGGTACGGGAGCAGTTATCTCACTACGCAATTCAGTAAATGGCAATGACACTAAATCTGTGGCCACAATGAGATTGAGTTATTGTTCAATCCAATTTATTTATCCGGTTATTGTTCTAGTAACTGAATACAAATATATCGAGAATAACTAAGGTTGACACTATTTTTGTACCTTAGCCTCGATGAGATAACAATATGATGAAATGATTTGATTGCACGGTAACCATATTGTTGATAGGTAGCTATTTCACTGAATCTGAATCTATTGGGTGGTCATGATGCCTTGCTGGGGGCCAATTTGGATCTATGTGTAGTGAGACAATTAATTGGTGTTAATCGCGATATTACTTATTACCAATATGATAAGGAACCTACGGGTCACACACTTAGAAGATAATTTAAAAATCAGTTTGTGAAAGGAGAATTTTCGTCTTTTAGAATGAAAGAGTATTTTGATAATTTCACAGTGCAATTACATTTGTTGAGGTTGTTGTCTATATTTAATTTAATATTAAAATTAAATTAGTGAGATTATATTTAAATATATGTACGCATATATTTAAATGGATTATTATTATTAATTAAATGTGTGTATATATATATATTGATTTATTTTAATTATAATAATAATTAATTAAAATTTAAAATACAAATTAAAGGCTGTTTGGTTGCAATGGTGGATTAGGGCTCAAGCCCATGACTATTCCTTATTAGAATAGAGTTTTAATTGTTATAGTGCAACTTAAAATTAAAACAATATAAGGGTGCGTTTGGTTTAGTATTTTGGATAGGATTTTAAGGGTAGTATTGGGTTATTGGATATGGGAGTATTACGAGGTAAATTTTAAAAATTTATAAAAAAGCCCTTAGGTTTACTAATTTAACTAAAGACCCTAACATGTAAAATGACAAAAACACCCCCACCACTGCAGTGTCAGATTCCGGCCACCACCGCCGGAATCTGACCGGAAAATTTCGTTACGGCACAGACTTGTCGGATCTGTGCCGTAACACATCGTTATGGCCTTTTCCGGCTAGATCCATGGTAGATCTGGCCGGAAAAGGCCAGATCTATGGTTTGTTTTGGCCGTCGACGGCCGGAAAAGGCCAAACGACGGCCATCTTTGGCCGTCAGCGACGGCCAAAGATGTGGCCGTCGTTTTCGATCGACGACGGCCAAGATTTGGCCGTCGTTGACCGTCAACGACGGCCATTTCTTTGGCCGTCGCTGACGGCCAGATCTGGCCTTTTCCGGCCAGATCCGTTGTGGATCTGGTCGGAAAAGGCCACAGCGGTGAACTTCCGGCCATTTCTGGTCGGAAGTTTGGCCGTTGTACAGATTCCGGCTATCACCGACGGTGGTTGCCGGAATCTGACAAGTTGGGTTGATGGGGGTGTTTTTGTTAATTTTAAACTTTTTTTTCAGGGGGTATTTAGTGAAATTAATAACCTTATGGGGTTAAAATGTAATTAAAAAAAATAGGGTAATATTTTGAGAATATTGTACCAAACGCAATTTGAAAAATAGGATCCAGAATAGGGATAAAAATATTAAACCAAACGCATACATAACAATTTCATTCAACAAAAAAAACCCAACCACCTACCCACTCTCTCTCTCACGTCATGTTCATTGATTGAAGAGAAATATTTTTCTCTTCTTGATTCTTTGAAGATCTTTGATTCTTGAAGCCACCTTGTTGTTCTAGTAAAACAACAGGTGATTCTTCGGATTATCTTCGTGTGGATCAACGTACGTGTGGTTCTATATTGAATCGGTAACGAAATAAAATCATAGACACTTGAAGGAGCCTCCAAACGTGCATAAGATTCCTGATCCTTTGAATGGATTATTTTATTTGTACAAAATTTTTGTTTTTAACATGTAAACAATTTAATCAGTACCCGGATCTCAGCAAAAAGGGGCCATTGATCTATCCTTTATTTTTATTTTTCCGCTGCATTGGTTAGATCAATTCGTAACATTCGCGTTGCCATCTTTGGTCCATTTGGCCGGAATTCGGTGTCGTTGACCTTCCGCATCACCACCACTAGATTCCCTATTCTCCCCTAACCAAAACCCCCTTGATCCCCACATCGTTTACCCCACCGTTCGTCGGCCACCGCAATTAAGGGTTTCCCTTTTTTGCGCCGATTCTGCCTGATTCGAGCCGCCAAATTTCAATCTTCCACCACCCTTCAACCTCCAACCTCCCCTCTTCAAAATCTCTCAAACCCCGAAACTTGGTTACTTGTTGTTCGTCGGTCATAAATGGCATCCCTCCTTCATCGTTCATTGTTTTCTCAGCAAAGTGGAATTTTAAATTTTGATTTTTGATGCATAATGTTAATTGACCATTATAACAGACTTCTGATCATCCTGCTATTCTTCATAATGAAATTTATTAAAATTATTAACAGAATTATGCTTTGGGTAATAAAATTGTATTTTAAAATTTTCTGGGTGAGAAAGTATCCTTAAACCATTATTGGGGTGGGAAAAGGAAAAAGTCGTTTACTCGCATAGATTATCATGGAACAAATTAGACTTTATGTTACATTTGGAATCATGGATCTTACATGTGGCCAGTAAGTGTTCGGTGTTCCTATCATCGTTATTGGGTTATTCTAAATGCATGTGTCATCTCATTTATTAAGTAATTGAGATACAATTTAATTAAATATATAGTATTTAATTTGCTACCCATATATGTTGATGCAATAATTCATACCAATCAGATATCCAGTCAGCCCCGGAGGGGACCGAGCAAGATGTGTGCATGATTACGGATAACTAGCAAGGTCGTCGAAGCGACATACTAAAGCAAAGAACAAGAGAAATTTTATAGTGGTTCAGCGATTATGAAAACCAAACATACATCCACTATCATGTCATTTTTTTGGGGTGTTACAAGGTCTACTGAGGTTAAAAAGGGACCATGAGACCAATGAATTTGGTTCTCTCGACCTACTCTCTTTAACTCTTTCTAAAATTATCTAAGTGTTTATCTCCTAAACTTTACTACCACTAGAATCGAAGTTTGAAACGAAGGCCGCGGGCTCTTTTTATACCCATCTCGTCTGACAATGGTTGAGAGTGGGTGTTATGGGGTTTCTTGCACGTATAATCCTCCTAATTAGGATTTGAGTTAGTATAACCCATGCTTGTGGTAGACCGGACCATGGTAATGGCAGTTTAACCCATACTTATGGCAATAATCACCTTATGGTGGAAGTCAAGCACCAAGGGGGTGTCACGTGGGAGGATCTTGGTCGTCGGGCATTGATATACTTTAGGGACATGTGGCACAAATCTGAACGTCCGGGAATTGGGCATAACAATATCATTGTTATTGCACAAGAAAGGAAACATAAGGGAACTTTCACAAGTTCTCTGAAAACAAAATTATAAAACTAATACTTTAAGGTTGATTATACGAATAATTTTTTTTTTTTTTCATTCAAAACTAATTAAGAATAAAAGATACGAGATAATTTTAAATTTCAGAATTAGACAAGGAAAAAAAAAAAAAAAACAACTTAAGAATATGACAAAATGAAATGACGAAACTATTTTCTTGTTTTGTAGATTAAAGATTTTGTTTATGGTTGTATCCAATAGTATTTAGAATTCCATATTTTTCATAGATTTGTATCCAATAGTATTTATAATTCCATGTAGTTCATAGATTTGTATAATAGTATTTAGAATTTCATATATTTCACAGATTTGTATAACCATTACTGGTTAAAAATAATAATAGAGGAAGAAGATAGGGAAAATTTGGGAATTCAATTGTGAACATAATTTATTTAATAAATTTTATTAAATTCGGAGTCTGGAACTAGAAAGAGGTTTGATGGGGCTTAAATAACAACATTCAATAAATTTATCAAACACCAAAACTAAATTCACTGTCACATAATTGCAAATAATAAAATGGACTAAAATTGTTAAACTAAATCCATGTTGTAGATATGAATATCATTTCAAATGACGTAATTGACTCCAGGCTTTTTTATTCATTTGGCAAAGATAAAACAAAAGTTTGAAAAGATTAATATACAATAAAAAAAAAAAAATTAAGTCAAATAGCGGTTAATTGACGCAAATATTTGTGAGAGGTTTAGTTTTTCAGAAGGCATAAGATTAACTTCAGCTAGTCAAACACTCTGGGAGAATCTGGAAACCCAAATTAGGATCGCAATGGCGACAGGACAAGGGGAAGTACAGCTGCAGAGCTGTTTAGAGAAGCTGGTAAGAAGGTTAGCATGGCTGGAAGCTGACAAACTGTTTTATGAAGATGAGGAGTTCAAGGGAACTGCCTTACTCTATGAAGCAGGAATTCAAAAACTTGAGGTAATGAGAAAATGTCATTTGTTTGACATGTCAAAACTCAAACTCGAGAATTTGAATGAATTAATAGTGAAATTGGGAAAAACTGACTTGACGGATATGGTTCAAGGATTAGCGGTTTATCCTAATGGAGCTATGGAATTGTTCGTTCCATGGAAAATCTTTAGAAAAAGTTTCTGTAGAGATCTTTTGACTAAAGGATGGATCGATACAATGCAAATTGACGTACAGGAAACGATGGTGGATCCGAATATGCCAGATGCGGTTAAGCAAACGCTCTGTGTATTGAATCGGAAAGTTGACACTTTCACTTGCATGATTACTTCCTCATTGCAAGAGAGCTATGATGTTCAGCCTGTACAGATATGAGAATTTCTTGTAGGAGAACCATGGTACCGAATTATGCTCGATAGTGAGGTAAAGATGGGTTCTTATGCACTAGAAGAAATTCAAAAGAAAGGAGAAGAAGATTGGACCAGGTTACACATTTCCAAAATGTTACTGGTTAAATCTAAACTGGAAGAGCTCGTGAGAGTAAATGCTACTGTCCATATTCAGAATGGAATTGTGGTAGTTATACCAGACAGGTATGCATTGATCCAGGATACTCTTTTTTCAACATAACCAGGCCCAGTTGAGAACGCTACTAGAAGGGTTTGATCTAGCCCATCTACCGAAGCAGGCCTTAATGGAAGGTACTATTGATCTTCTAAGGTTGGTCCTAGCCCACGACTAGGAAGCCCAAGAAGATGACACTCTAAAAGATTTTATTGATCTTATCGAAGTAGATAACTTCAAGGATTGATAAAAATCTAGAGGATAGAGATTTGGACAATCAGAAACGTCTAACACGTAATACGCTGACGTGTATCCAAAAAGCGGGAATAATACGTGGACCGTCAAGATTTTGCCGACAACAATTAACGAAGGATATTTAAAAGCAGTCTTGACTTTTGTGTCACATGTAATAAACATATGTAAAATGTAGTAATTTGTGTTAAACATGGGAGACATATGGGACCCATGTCATCTTTTCTTCATGTTCTTTATTTTCTTTATGTTACGTGTATGAAACAAGAAAAAAAAGGATCTATTCAAGACGATTGATATCCAGGTATGAATTAATCTGTTAAATTGAATCTATGAATTTTCTCTCTAATTAATTAACTAGGTTAATTAGTTATTAATTGTAATAATATTTGTACGACTGGGTATTACAAATATTATGTGGGTAAGTTATATACTTGGATTGGATTGGTTTTAAATTGGATTTACTTAGCAAATTTAACAACCCAATTGGATTATCAAAATCCAGTCCAATCCAATTAAATTATTGAAACCATCAAAATTGGAGCGGTTTGGATTGGATTGGTCAGTTTAATTAGATCTGATTGGATTTTGATCAGCCCTAGTTCAAGACACGGCATCCAAAATAATTAAAATATTTTATGATTTTATTAGATAATGTGTTTGTCTTTACTTAGAAATTTATTAATCCATTATTTAGGATAGATTAATTTTTTCATATTGGATTACAGTAAATTGAAGAGAGTTAGATTGGATTAAATTAATACCATCATTTGTTTGGTGTAACCCTAGATTAAATGTATAAATAATTATTTAAATTTTTTAAAAGATCTGGTAAGAATGCTTTCTATATACAAGGCCATGGTTGTTAGAGGGCTTAAGTGACCATGTATATGATAGCCTTGAATTTGGAAGTGAAGCACCCATAGATTAAGACACCATGACATATTGTAAACTAGTTACACTTAAATTCATTATACACATAATTATACATTAAAACAGCTGCATGACAATTTCAATATAAAAGAAAATTAAAGTCAAGTCACTTAGCTGCGACAGGTTGAATCTTGACTGCAGATGAACAGGGATCTCTCAAACTGCATACCCAAGTGCCCACTATGAGCAATTATTTATTTAGTCACTCCCTTTCTATTTATCTTATTAGGATTAATTAAACATTTTATTATTTTACAGGTTCTCTTAACATATGTTCTCTAAACACATATTAAAGGAATTATGTAGTATCACAAGTTTACAAAAGGATAAAACTTTACAGCTTTTAACACGTCATCCACTGTAAATTGTATCTTCTTGCAAGATTGTGGATCATAAAATTCACTTTAACACATGCCTTGAGCACAGTTAAGTTGAGATTTCCTTTATTTATTTTTGTACTATGAAAGTTGGCATGGCAATATCAGCCAGCCATTATTAATTGTTCCTGAGAACAGGGCAGCTTGAGGGTGCTGCTGCTTCTTTAGATGAATATGATCCATCTATTTTCGCACCTTTGAGGAGACCAGCAAGCAATTCTCCACGATCGTAAAAGAACTCCACCTTCACAATTTTCATATCTTCATCCACCTGTTTCACATTGAAAAAGAATACATTTTTTTTAGTAACTTATAGTATTATTATTATATATATTATACAAGAAGAACTTAAATTACGATAGTCGATTTTAGCAGAGACGATATAAATATACCTCAAACATGGCCATGCCAAAGAGCTCTACCATCTCCCCAGTAGCGGCATGCCCTCTAAAAGGACCGTCCATGAAACCCCAGTGCCTGAACTTGTAAGCAATAACTGGAGGGCCACTATAAACTTGGAGAACCTCCATAGCAAATCCTCTTGGGAATGTTTTTGAGAAAGTCTTCATATATGAAGCTGCAGTTTCATCATCAATTGGGTTGTACACCCTTAACTCCTTTGGCAGGGAAGTTTGCCAATTTAGGCCACTTGGAGAACCTCCATAGCAAATCCTCTTGGGAATGTTTTTGAGAAAGTCTTCATATATGAAGCTGCAGTTTCATCATCAATTGGGTTGTACACCCTTAACTCCTTTGGCAGGGAAGTTTGCCAATTTACGCCATATCCTCCATCAAGCTTACTTATTTCTTCAATAGTTTGAGCTTTCCTTCCTGTAAATCATGATTGTTGATGCGTAATTTTTACACCAACTAAACACACGTGTGAAATGTTGAGTTGGCCCAGAAGACACTCGTGAATATAAAGGAAAATGAGAGTAAATACAATGAGAAAAACATTTTTAAAGTGGTTCGGATGCTAAGGAAGTAAGTCCTACGTCCACTGTTATTTTATTAATGATAGGGGTCAGGTCGCATTAGCGGAATGACTTACAAATGATAGTACAAGAGAGAGAGAGCTATATATTCTTGAGAGAGTATAGCTAATCAAGAGTAAAATGAGCGAATCCCTTGAATGAGAGATGAGCTCTCAATTTATAGTGGGATGCATTGGGATTATGATTATTGAATCTGTGAGTTGGCGAGATTATCCATGCAAATCCTTCTTTATGTCACATTGCCCACCTTCTAGAGTGATTTGCGCGATTTGGCGCAGGGATTGGACACGTGGGATCACCACAGCTTCTGGCTGGTTTGGCGCGCACCCACTATTCTGACAGAAGTAGGCTGCGGGTGTACCCATGTTCTGACTTTTGCTTGCTGACTGGACCTTACGTCAGCCCTATATTTTTCAGGCATAACAATGATCAACATGTACATGTTCACATATTATATAGATACTTAAGTACATGGTAAAAACTAATTCATTTTTGAATTGTTGCTTAAGTGTTTATTATTTGGTGTAAATAATTATATATACCATTGAGGCTGAAAGTAAAGTTGTTTGTATCAATTGTCTTGAAGTCTTCAATACGAGTCTTATGGATCATTTCCATTTCCCATGACTTGGCAAGGTTCTGCACCTTTTCTTCAAGTGATCCAGCAGGCCATACCTTCCATGCAGAATATATAAACAAGTTAGATTGGTGATCTCTATAGTAATAAAAAATCACAAATATTTAAAGTAGAGAATACATATAAACATATATAGAATTTATATGAAAGAGAACGTAAAAGAGACCTTAGTTCTACCTTCTTCAAAGAGTTTGTTGACAGTATTGTAGTTAGGAAGGGTACCAAATCTCCATTTGGTATTCGTCTCTTCTTCTCCATGTAGGAGAGAACGATATCTGTCTCCCTCAACTACTAAAGCTGCCATTTTCTTAAGTTTCTATATTTGCAAGTTTAAGATTAATGGAGTAGAGTGAATATTTTGTGTGACAGAGAGTTCTTTATATAGGCAAAATGTAGTAGACTTTTTTACTTAGTAGAATAAGGTAGCTTGAGTATCACACAAATGAACGAAGTCAACATTTGGATAATATTGGTTGATGATGAATTATAATGTCCCAAATTATTTTGAAAACAATCCCAAAACTCCTCAACACGATCTTTTATCAATTAAGGAAGGAGTATACAACACTCCTCAAACTCTGATATCACTTATCTCGACGAACTTACAAATTAAAATCCCAAAACTCCCAATTCCATGCAATAACTTTTAGCTAAAGTTACCTTTTATTGATACTTGATTTTGACACCAACTATCTCGCACGTGTAAAGTGTTAAGTTGACCTTAGAAATTACATATGATTGATAGATTCAAGAGTCAGGATAAGGTTGAACAATAATATTAAATGCAAAGACAAAATAATAAATAAAACAGAAGATTTTTATAGTGGTTCGGATGCTTGAAGCGATTCTTACGTCCAATGTTTCTTTTATATATGAGAGTTTACAAGAGGTCGCATATAGCGAATAGTGAGCAGAGGTATATTAATTGGGTATTCAGAGAGAATATCAAGTCAATCTCTTTCTCGTAGGTTGTCTTTGCTATTAATTGTGTTAAATGTGGAAGCCTAAAATAGCATCGTTTTGAGTTACAAGAATACGACGTCATTTTAGGCATATTGACCGGAACAAACTTAGACCGCAGGATGCACTCCAGATCTAACGGCCAGGATCAACCACGAAGTCAAACCATATATAAACACTCTTTCGTTCAGATTAGAAAACGACGACATAATTTTAGGGTTTTCTGGGTTTGCACTTCTGTGTGTTAGGATTGAGATTATTTTTCCAGATTGTGTGTTAAATCAGTCGAGTGAATAGGGAGTTTAATCATTCAGGTGAGAGTGTTGTTCTCTCGGGTTAGGGATATTCAGAGAGTATCTTATAAGGTTGGTTGCAGTTTGTAATTGGGTAGATCTGGTGAGTGTTGAATCTGTGTAATCCTAACAGTTCCTGATAATCGAAGTGCAGCGAGCTCATACCGTTCTTGAGCTCAACGTGGATGTAGCTTATCCATAAAAGGATAAGTGAACCACGGTAAATCGTGGCTTGTTTGTGTGTTTGTTCTTGTTGTGTTTTCTTGTTTCTTGGTGTGATAGATTTGTGTTGGTGTATAGATCAGTATTTAGTTTCTGTTATAACAGTGGTATCAGAGCCATTTCTTGAAGTTGAAGTTCGTTTTTTACAAAATTAGGGTTTCATAAAAAATTAGGGTTCTTTTGAGAAATTGGGGGTTTATCAAATCAATTCCTGTGAGTCTCCAAAAGTAAGTCTAGAGAGTCAAATCTTGATCGAGTGTAAGGGTATATTGGCTGGAAAACCAGTGACCACCTTAAAAACTGCCTAGCAGTAATTGGCAACTTCTGGTGTAACAATGCCTCGTACACCTTAGACTCACCTTCTCTGTTGTTGTTTCGGTATAAGAAGTTTTTTACGAAATTAGGGTTTTGTGAATTTGGGAATTTTTTGAAAAATTAGGGTTTTGGGAATTGGGATTTTTTTTTTTTTTTTTTTTTTGAATTGACTATTTCTTTGAGTCTAGAATTGGTTCTAGAGAGTCAAATCTTGATAAAGTGTAAGGGTATATTGGTTGGAAAACCAGTGACCGCCTTAAAAACTGCCTAGCAGTAATTGGCAACGTCTGGTGTAACAATGCCACGTACACCTTAGACTTTTCTTTCCCTGCCATTACAAGAAAAATGAGCACTACCCGTATGGAGATCTCCCAATACGATGGGAAGATCGACTTCAGGAGCTGGAAGAAGAAGATGAAGTCTCTTCTCTCACACAACAAGGTTGCAATTGCACTGAAAAAGGATCCCAAGAAATGGTCAGAGGAGAAACTGGAGAAGACGGAAGAGATTGACGAAGAAGCTTATAACCTGATCGTGATGAATCTTTCGGACAGTGTCTTTCAAAAGGTAGATGGATTCAAAACTCCTTTTGGTTTATGGGGTAAATTAGAATCTTTATATGCCTTATAGTCTGCACCAAATTTGGCTTTCTTAAAGGGAGCCTTATTCTCTTGTAAGATGGATAATTCGAAGTCCATAGAGGAAAACTTAAATGAATTCCTTAAGATGAATCTAATCTTAAAGGGCACAGACAAAGAACTAGGACAGACTAGTCTTGCCATGATATTATTAAATTCCCTAACTGAGGACTACCAAGTAGTCAAAAATGCCCTACAGTACTCCGGTACTGTGCCCAGTGTTAATTTGATAGTTGCGGGTCTTAAAGCTAGAGAATTAGAGCTTAAAACTCTTAAGAGGAACAATAACACTCTATTTGTGAAGGGTAGAATAGAATGTGCTCAGTCTAGTAAAGGTTTTCAGTCAAATCAAAGGGGTAAGAACAAGAAGAAATGGAAGGGGAACAACAACACCAAAACAGAAACCAGGAAATGTTACTACTGTAATAAGACAGGTCACCTAAAGAAAAACTGTTTTGATTGGAAGAAGAAACAGAAACTAGGTAACACAGAGAGCAACCTAGCCACCACTAGTAACCAAATGGATGAACCAGAAGTCCTCACAGTGTCAATATCTGACACCACAAAAGAATGGGTATTAGATTCAGGTTGTACTTTCCATATGAGCCCTAATAGGAGCTGGTTCCAAGACTTTGAGGAGTTTGATCATGAGACAGTGTACATGGGGAACAAGCAAGCATGTAGGGTTAAGGGGATTGGCTGCATAACCCTTAGGTTAAGTGGGGGAAAACTAATAAGATTGACCAAAGTCAGATATATACCTGACTTAAAAAGAAACCTCATATCATTAGGTACCCTAGATGAAGCAGGCTGCTGCTATATAAGGCAAACAGTGGGTGGTTGAATGTCTATAAAAATGAGAATCTTGTGTTGAAAGGAGAAAAGAAAAATGGTCTGTATGTACTTTATGGTAGTTTTTATTCTGACTGCAACAACACAACACTTGGGTCTCCAAATTTATCAGTAACTGAAAGGTGACACTTAAGGTTAGGTCATATGAGTCAGAAGGGAATGGATGTACTGAACAGGCTAGGACAATTTGGGAAAGACACTGTTACCAGTATGGAATTCTGCGAAAATTGTGTACTTGGTAAACAACATAGGAACAGTTTTCCTAAGGGAGTTCACTTAGCAAACAATTGTTTGGATTACCTACATTCTGACTTATGGGGGCCAAAAAAGGTTAAATCTCATGGTGGAAACAGCTATTTCCTCTCAATAGTAGATGACTACAGTAGGAAGGTCTAGGTATTCTTACTTAGGTCAAAAGATCAAGCCCTAGCAAAGTTTAGAGACTGGAAAACCCTTGTTGAAAACCAGTCTGGCAGAAAGGTAAAAGCCCTTAGGACTGACAATGGGCTTGAGTTCTGTAATCTGGAGTTTGATAAGTTTTGTAGTGAACAGGGCATCTTGAGGCATAGGACAGTGAGAAATACCCTTCAGCAAAATGGAGTGGCTGAGAGGATGAACAGAACACTTCTAGACAAAGTAAGATGCCTCTTGATTACTTCAAACCTTCCAAAAACTTTCTCGGGAGAAGCACTCTCCACAGCTGCCTACTTAGTGAATAGGAGTCCTTCCACAGCAATAAGTCTAATCAGTCCAAAAGAAAGATGGTCTGCGAGAAGACCAGAAACAGGGCACCTAAGAGTGTTTGGCTGTGCTGCATATGCTCACACAGTGGGGGGAAAACTGGAACCAAGATCAACCATGTGTGTGTTCCTTGGATATCCTGAGGGAACAAAAGGATACAGACTGTGGGACAGAGAGTCACCAGGGATCAGGATCTTGGTGAGCAGGGATGTGGTGTTTAATGAGGGAGTATTCCCATGCAAAGGCACTAACCCTGATGAAGGAACAACTAAAAGCACAGAAGGAGCTACCAGACAGACCAGTACCACTCAGATTGAGGTGGAGCACACAACCCATCAATTAAACCCACCTCAAGCACAAGCACAAACTACCCTACAGCCTGAAACTGAAACTGCATCTGAGGAACCTGACCAAGCTGAAGATGAGAAAGCAGAAGAGTTCTTAGAACCACAGCAAAATGAACTGACAAACTATCAACTGGCCAGAGACAGAACCAGAAGAGAGGTAAAACCACCCTTAAGGTACTCATATGCAAAACTGATTTACACTGCTCTACTTGCAGGTACTAAAGTGCTTAGGTCTGAACCTGATACATATCAAGAGGCCATGGAATCCAAGGATAGGGACAAATGGAAAACAACTATGGAGGAGGAAATGCAATCTTTAAAGGTAAATGAAACCTGGATATTGGTTCCAAAACCAAGTAATCAGAAGCTGACCCAATGTAAGTGGTTGTTTAAACTTAAAGAGGGCATTTCCATAGCTGACCCACCTAGGTACAAAGCCAGACTTGTGGCTAAGGGTTTCACCCAAAGGGAGGGGATAGACTTCAATGAAGTCTTCTCCCCTGTGGTAAAATACAAAACAATTAGGTTGATGTTGTCTGTAGTTGCTTATCAAGACTTAGAACTAGAGCAGTTGGATGTCACCACTATATTTCTTCATGGAACACTAGAAGAAAAAATCTATATGAGCCAACCTATGGGGTTTACTGACCCTAAGTTCCTTGAAAATGCATGCCTTCTAAAAAGATCCCTATATGGGTTAAAACAGTCCCCTAGGCAATGGTACAAAAGGTTTGACACCTTTATAATAGGAATAGGATTAAATAGAAGACAATATGACAGTTGTTTCTATTTTAAAATGGATAATAATCTGCCTATTTACTTGCTTTTATATGTGGATGACATGCTGTTGATCAGTAAGTCAAAAATCCTGATCAGTGAATTGAAGAAAAGACTAAACACTGAATTTAGCATGAAAAACCTAGGAAATGCTAAGAAAATTTTAGGCATGGAAATAAACAAGGATAGAAAGAGGTGTGAACTTAGACTGCAGCAACAATCTTACTTACTCAAACTAGTCACAAAGTTTGGCATGGCTGGTGCCAAACTGGTCTCAATGCCCCTAACCAGTCAGTTTATTCTTAGTAAGTCACAATGCCCCAAAACTGAGTCAGAACTGTTGAAAATGGAGTCTGTCCCTTATGCTAATGTTGTGGGGTCACTGATGTATGTCATGATTAGTACTAGGCCAGACCTAGCCTTTGCCATTTCCATGTTAAGCAGGTATATGTCCAATCCTAGTATGGAGCATTGGACTACTCTAAAATGGATGCTAAAATATATAAACAGTACTGTTTGTGTTAGCCTAGAATACTGTAAAAGAAATACTGCACTTGATCTGGTTGGTTTTGTAGATGCTGATTTTGCAGGTGATAAGGATACCAGAAAATCAACAACTGCATATTTCTTTACACTGGGTGGAAATTGTATAAGCTGGAAATCACAGTTACAGCATATTATAACACTGTCTTCAATAGAATCAGAGTACATTGCAGTAACAGATGCAGTTAAAGAAGCCTTATGGCTAAAAGGAATTCTGACAGAAGTAAAACTAATTGGTGGAAAGGTGACAGTGTATTCAGACAATCAGAGCATGATCCACCTAAGCAAAAATCCAGTGTATCATGAAAGAACCAAACACGTGGATGTCTGCTATCACTTCGTGAGGGACCAAGTTGCAAATGGAATCATTGAACTTAAGAAGGTACCCACAGAAGAGAATCCAGCAGATATGGGCACCAAAATTATCACTCCAGCCAAGTTCAAGCTTGCTGTATATCAAGTAGTCTTGAGTGATAAAGAGCTATGACAGAATGGTGGTAGGCCAGCTGCACAAAGAGTTTGTTTCCAGTGCTTCCAAGGTGGAGATTGTTAAATGTGAAAGCTTGAAACAACGTCGTTTTGAGCTACAAGAATACGATGTTGTTTTAGGCATATTGATCGGAACAAACTTAGATCGCAGGATGCACTCTAGATCTAACGGCCAGGATCAACCACGAAGTCAAACCATATATAAACACTCTTTCGTTCAGATTAGAAAACGACGACATAATTTTAGGGTTTTCTAGGGATTGAGATTATTTTTCCAGATTGTGTGTTAAATCAGTCGAGTGATTAGGGAGTTTAATCCTTCAGGTGAGAGTGTTTTTCTCTCGGGTTAGGAATATTCAGAGAGTATCTTGTAAGGCTAGTTGCAGTTTGTAATTGGGTAGATCTGGTGAGTGTTGAATCTGTGTAATCCTGACAGTTCCTGATAATCGAAGTGCAGCGAGCTCATACCGTTCTTGAGCTCAACGTGGATGTAGCTTATCCATAAAAGGATAAGTGAACCACGGTAAATCGTGGCTTGTTTGTGTGTTTGTTCTTGTTGTGTTTTCTTGTTTCTTGGTGTGATAGATTTGTGTTGGTGTATAGATCAGTATTTAGTTTCTGTTATAACAAATTGCTATGAGAGTAAAGATCAGAGATCCCGAAAATGAGAGGGGCGGTTCTCTATTTATAGTAGTTGAATTTAACATAATGATTACAAATCTACAAGTGGGTAGGTGCCATACAAGTCCTTCATTGCCTCTCATTTGCTAATAACTTAGGAAATATCTTTAAAATTTATGGGGCTTAGACAGATTCGTGATCCTCATTTACTCATAGACAAAACCTGAATCTGTTGGGTTGATTACAACCATATCCTTTCTATCTTGGGGCGACGTGGTAGCTCCTGGACGACGCAAAACCTTCCTAAATACAAATTGATGCTTGTTGATTTAAGCTTACGTCAGTGCTTATTTTTTAGGCATAACACCTTAAATAACCTGCAAATAGGCATTTAATAAAAAATGGTGGAATGGAAGATGGACAATGAAAGCAAGCTTTACATTTTCTAAAATGGTCTTATCAATTCCCACTCTTGGGGGTGCTATTCTAGCTTCTTCTTTGGTTGAACTTCCCTTCTGCTTAACTAAATATCATAATTTTCTGTGACATATATATACTTTGTAAATATATAATTAATAAGAAATATAACACAAACAAATGCTAAAATCAGCCAAGTTTTCGTGGTTAACAATAATAAATATAACAATTAATGAATAAATTCAAGCCTCGGATAAAGAATAATGAATAAATTTGATAAAATCCTTTACAATTCAGAGTTTAAATTGAATCCGATTGCTTTGGTTTTGAGTTTAGTGTATAGCAATAGCCTATATGTCATATTACTTATGAATTAAGACATGAATTTTTTTTATTATTTTTTTTTTTGTTTATTTTTAATATAAAAAGGCTGAGGTAGATGTGTCATTAAAAATCGATTTTATTAAAATCTTTAATAAATGGTTGAAGAACAGATGATAACATCATTGCTGGTTATTTGATAGCATATAAATCATTAAATAAGAAGTGAAGAATCATTATATTCCTTTTTTTTTTTTAAGTGGATTGAAATGGCATAGTTGACTTTAATTTACTTTGATTTTGAAAGGTCATTTGTAATTAGGATTCTGGAAAAAAATAAATAAATAAATAAATAAATAATAATAATAATAATAATTGAAGGTTGGAACTCCAGGAAGGTGAATTAGGATGGGCTGGTCCAGAAATTGACTCGGCCGGGCTCGAATTTTTGCTACTACCTGGCATGGCTTGATGGGCTGGATTTACATAGTTTTAAGACGTTAGGATTTGAGCTCCAAAAAACCCCTGTAATTCTCTATTTACATAAAATTTATTAGAATAATGTTAAGTATATAATTCAATCTCACAACATTCTCTTGTAATCTCTGATATAGTAGTTCATCATTGGTCAGATCACAAAATGGATCTCACCTGCTTGTATGGGTCTCACTTGGCCATTTACGAGTTAACCAATAATAACTTATCACGTCAAAAATTATGAGAGAAAGTTGTGGATCCAGTATTATTGAATTTATTATATAACATAAAACTATATGGCTAAGAAATTTCATCTCTTTCATTCACCTATTTTAAGAAGAAAATATTTCTTCTCAAGAGATTTTTAGTACAGATTTTAAACTAATCAAGTTATATAGATGGCTATTTCACATTGGATGATTAAACTCCTTTTTCAGAACCCCAATCACAAATGACTGTTAAAAATGAAAGCAATGCAAAATCAATGAAAAAAAAAGAGGATATAAAGATGCTTCATTTCTTATTTAATGATTGTATATGCTATCAAATAACTTGCAATGATGTTATCATCTCTTCTTCAATATAAAAAGACTTTTAATATCGATCTAACTGAGTCTTTTTATATTAAAAAATAAAAATTATTTTAAAATTTATGTCTTCATTAATAACATATGGGCTATAGCTATGTATACGTTAAGTCCAAAACTAAAGCAATCGGTTTCAATTTAATTTCTTAATTGTAAAGGATTCTTTCTAATATGAGAGGCTTATATTTATTCATATGGTATATTTATAACAAAGTATGTCATAGAAATTTATGATATTTAGTTAAGTTGGAAGGGAAGTTCAGCTGATATAGAAGCTAGCAATTACACAATGCCAACATAAGACTATGGTTAGCAGTTAGCACCACCAAATTGGGGATGACCTTTTATAAAAATGTAAAGCAAGGCGTCATTGTGGATATGTCAGTATCTGCCTTCCTTTTTCCACCATTTGTTATTAAATCCCCACTTGCAGTTACTTAGCCAAAAGTTATTGCTTGGAATAGGGATTTAATTAGCAAATTCCTCGAGATGAGTGAGATCAGAGCTTGAAGATGAGGAGTATTGTATAATCCTCTTCCTTAATTGATAAATGAGTATCCCATTAATTGTGGATAAGGTGAAATTGGGGTACTACCAATAATTATTCATCATCCAATTATATCCAATTGCTGACTTCGTACGTTGTGTGTAATGAGTCTAATGACACTCAAGTTGTGCCTTATTCTAGGTAACAACATGTCTAATACATTTTGCCTATATAAAGAAACTCTCGGTCACACAAAAAATTTACTCTACTCCAATTAATCTTAATCTTCCATACATACCAACTTAAGAAGATGGCAGCTTTAGTGGTTAAGGGAGACAAATATCGTTCTCTCCTCCATGGAGAAGAAGAGAAGAATACCAAATGGAGATTTGGTACCCTTCCTAATTACAATACTGTCAACAAACTCTTTGAAGAAGGCAGAACCAAGGTTTCTACTTTCTACATATATTTACTTATTCTCCATTTTGTTAAAACCTTTACGTACAAATATTTGTCTTTATAAACAATTCTTAACTCATAAATATTCTGCCTTGAAGGTATGGCCTGCCGGATCACTTGAAGAAAAGGTGCAGAACCTTGCCAAGTCATGGGAAATGGAAATGATCCATAAGACTCGTATTGAAGACTTCAAGACAATTGATCAAAACAAGTTTACTTTCAGCCTGAATGGTATATATTAATTTAATTAACACTAAAGCATACCTATTCAAAATGAATTAATTTTTGTCTTGCAACCATAACTATCTACATATATAATATGTGAAACATGTTGATTTTCATGATTTTCGGGGAGGAAACCTCAAACTATGGAAGAAATACTTAAGCTTAATGGAGGATATGACCTACACTGGCAAACTTCTTTGCCCAAGGAGTTAAGGGGTTACAACCCAACTGATGATGAAACTGCAGTTTCATATTTGAAGACTTTCTCAACAACATTCCCAAGAGGGTTTGCTTTAGAGGTTCTCCAAGTTTATAGTGGACCTCCAGTTATTGCTTATAAGTTCAGGCACTGGGGTTACATGGAAGGCCCTTTTAGAGGACATGCTGCAACTAGGGAACTGATAGAGCTCTTTGGCATGGCCATTTTTGAGGTATATATTTTTACTGGACAACAATTATAAGCATCTTAAATATTTCTTATCATGATTATATAATATATATAATATTTTCAATTTGAAATAGGTGAATGAGGAGATGAAAATTGTGAAGGTGGAGTTCTTTTACGACCATGGAGAATTGCTTGCTGGTCTCCTCAAGGGTGCCAAAATTCATGGCTCGGCTAAAGAAGCAACCGCAACTTTAAGCTGCCCTGTGCTCAGCCACATTGGCTGATGTTGCCTTGTCAACTTTCATATGCAACAAAAATAAATAAAGGAAAATCTTAACTATGTGCTCATGAGTTAAAGTGAATTTATAATAGCAAATCATACAAAAAGATGAAATTCAGTAAAATTTTGTCTTTTGTAAAGTCCGTGGTATTACATATTCACTTTAATATGTGTTATATATATGTTAAGAAAACCTACCGATAAATAAACTTTAATCCTAAAAAGATGGATAAAGAGGGAATGAATATATAGACAAAGGATCGATCAAACCGGTCCCTTTGGTTTGCATGTAGATGAAAGATCACAGTTGATCTATAATCAAGATTCAACCTGCAGCAACTAAAGGATTTCTCTTTGTGTTTTGTTATCATAACTTTTTCAGTTGGAATTGTCATGCAACTGTTTTAATGTCATTTTGTATTATGTTTAGATGGGGTCTCACTCCTAAGTTTATGGTTATCATCATCACTTCAACCATGGCGCTAAAGGCAATATCAAAAACACAAAATTATGTCAGCATACTTTCTTATAATATCTTATGATTTGAATGAATAGCAACTCCAAGATTTACAATGTACAGGGTAGAGATGGCAATGGGCCGGACCGCGATCGGGTACCATTTGGCTGGGCCATTTTATAACTCTTAATCCTAGCCCATGTTAATTTCTACAAATTATTTTTTTATGCTCAATCTTTGATATATCTTTCTTTGTCATTCATATTAACTTAATTAATAGTATCTTCTGCTTTAATAATTATATTTTATGTGTGTACAGGTTAATATGATGGACAATGAATCTTGGGTTTGACTAAAATCGTAATTGATTGATACCATAAAATTATTTCAAAATCATAATCAAATGAAATAAAATTTTAATTTAATTTTTTTTTTAAATGATAACTTAAACATTGAATGACATTTTTATTTTACTTATTTGAAAAATAAATCGAATGAAATTTAACATCATCAAATAAAATTACATTCTTGTACGGAGATAAAACTAGACTTTGATTTTCAAGTCTTATAAATCCAAGCCCATTTTAGCAGCCCAAAGTGCAAGTAGTATTGAAGTGTAAAACTAACCAGACTCCAATGGCTCAAATTCGAACCAAAATCGGCATAAAAGTTATTTTATTAATGAGTTATTTGCTTTGTTTGATCACAAATATTTGTAAAAAGGTGTCTTAATATCAATTAAAATTAATAATTGTAATATATGTGGAAATATATTGCAACTTACTTATGAGAAACCACTATCTAATTGCATTTGAGCCTTTGATATCGTTTTTATTCACATATAAAAACAATAGAAAGCATCTTCAATTAATATTTTTATCTAGGAAAGGAGGAAAAAAATACCATGAATTGGGAAGAAGAATTCGCATATACTGATAGCAAGTTACCAGTTTGCTTGATCCAAGTAATATATATATATATATATATAGGTGAGTTGAGAAAATAAATTGTAGAAATTAACACGGGCTGAGCTGATACATAAAATAATAAAATTAACAATGGCCTCATGTTAAAACTCGGGTCGGGTCGAGCCAATGGTTGTCTTGGGCCCGGCCCGGCCATGCCTATCCCCGCAAGCAATGGCTAATGTCCGACTCGTACGGGCCTGGCCGGATACCCAGAAATCCGGGTACAATTGTCATCTCTGGAAAATAGGTAATAAATTAAATTTCAAAAAATAAAACTACTTCCTTCACAAACCAAAAAAAACAAAAAAAAAAAAAAAAGAGGAGTTTCAAATCCAAATTTCCCATAAAAGTTATGGACAGTGGTGCTGGAAGAGAAAGAGGATAGACTACAATAGTGCGGTTGCTAGAGGTGGTGGAAGAGGATAGACGATGACGGTGTGGTTGAAATTGGTGGTAGTGGTTAGGGCTTGTTAGTTGAAAGAGAATTGGGGATTTTTGATTCAATGGTGATGAGAAGTACTTTAAAATCCATTTTTTATTTCTAAATTTGGGTTAACTAAAATATTTTAATTAATTTTTAAATATTTTACAAAAGGTTGAATTGGTAAGTGATGTAGCAATCATCACATGTTACATCACTTTATACTAGGCTTCTTGTAAACCTTTTGAAAATATAGGCTTCATTTGATTCATTATTAGATGATTTTTATAATAGTATTTTGAAAAAAAGTAAAATTAGATTATTTTAACGAAAAAATAATTATTAATGTTTTGTGAGATGAATAAAATAGAAAATGATTTTGAGAATATTGAAACAAATACATTTTTGGGTTGATTTTCTGTTTAATTTTATTGGGAAAACCATAATAGCATTTTAAAGAGTGTACCAAACGGAGCCTACGTATTTCTCTTTTTGTATATGCTAAAAAATTATCTTTTAATTTCATAACATGAAACTAGTTATGTATTTTATATGTATTCCAAGCCTTAAAAAATTATTGAAATGGAAAAGGCTATAATTAACACAAGAAACACCCATGAAGTTTATCCATTCATAGATAGATACACTTTGAAGACTCTATTTATGTTACTCACCCACTAAGGTGGTCAGTAACTATAATTTGATTAATTTTCCAAATAAAAACTGACCCAATTCGCCATTCCAACTGTGACTTACATACTGTGAGCTTTCAACTGCAAATTGCTCTCTCCAACATGTGCATTTATTCATTAATTTTATTCCCTTTTTTTTTAATTGATCAATTTCATAAAACGTTGCTATTAGCCAGTGCTCCTGAGGACTGGACAGCTTGAAGTTGCTTCTTCAACAGAGCCATCCATTTTAGCACCCTTGAGAAGAGCTCCAAGCAATTCTCCACGATCATAAAAGAACTCCACCTTCACAACTTTCATCTCTTCATTCACCTGTGTTTCAACAACAAAATATTGTATCAAATTGTTAATTTATGTAACAAATTAAAAATGCCAAAGTCAATTTGTAGAGATACCACACCTCAAAGATGCACACGCCATAGAATTCTATCAAGTCTCCAGTAGGGGCATGGCCCTTGAATGGACCCTCCATGTAACCCCAGTGCCTGAACTTGAAAGCAATAACTGGAGGTCCACTGTAAACCTGGAAAACCTCCAAAGCAAATCCTCTCGGAAAAGTTGTGGTGAAGGCAGTGTGAGATGAAACTGATGTTTCTTCTTCAGGATCGTAGACTCTCAACTCTTTTGGTAACGAAGTTTGCAGATGCGGATTGTATGCTCCACCAAGCTTTCCGATTTCTTGCATATTCAATGCTTTCCGTCCTAGAGAGTAATTGAATCACGATCAATACTTAATATTTGTAGCCAATGGCTGAGTAGTAATTTCTTTAGTTGGTGTTACCATTTAGGCTGAAAGTATAGTTGTTTGTGTCGATTGTTTTAAAATCTTTGATCTCCTTCTTGTGCATGATTTCAGTTTCCCATGCCTTGACAAGATTCTGAACTTTTTCTTCAAGTGACCCAGCCGGCCATATCTTCCACGAAAAATCACAAGTTAATTAGATTATAGAATTAAATACACTAAAGAATTGAAGAAGAGAGAGAAAGATAGAGACCTTAATTCTGCCTTCTTCAAAGAGCTTGTTGACAACCTCATAAGTAGGAGTAGTACCGAATTTCCAGGTGGTATTTTTCTCATCTTCATCGTTTAAGAAAAAACGATATTTGTCTCCCTTAACACCTGAAGACGCCATTGAAGGAGCTAAATGGGGAAGATTAAGATTGGAGTGCTAAAATTTCATGGTACAAAAGTAAGGTTATATAGGCAGAAATTATACTTAGAATATGCAAGTTTGAGCGTCATTCAACACCACATGCCTAGTCAAGCTTTGAATAAATTGACCATTCATTTGTATATTACATGAATCTAACCCATCCCTGTGAATTGAGATGTTAATTTTATCTTCAAGCGCTAACAATTTGTTTAGATTTTTTTTTTTGAATGGAAATACTATAAGATAATGTTGTTAATAATATTTATTTTATTATGTCTGTTGAATTTTTTTTTCTCTTGCGTTATAGTTTGGGGCAAATGGGCCCCATTTTGTCGTCATTAAAATGATTGAATCTTAATTAGATGTGACGACTAGCAAGCTTGTATTGACCGAAACACTTCTGGTCTTCACTATGTACAATTATTCCACTTTTTTTGTGAATTAAGATTTTTTTTTTTTAAAGTAAAAGGAGAAAATTAAGGGCTGGCGGTAGATAAACCTTGAAACTTGAAAGTCAAATTTATTTATTAATTTATAATAAATATTTTATTGAATTTATAAACATGTATGGTCAGAGAATCTAAATGCCGTAAGCTGGTAGGTTTAGTAGTGGCTGTATGATAGTGTAAATTATATATTAAATAAGAAGTGAAAAGATTCTATATATATTTTTTGTTTTCGTTTTTTATTTTTTAAGTTGAATTAATTAGCATAGTTGGCTCTATGGTTTTGTGAAAGGTTATATGTGACTTGTTGGTAAAGGAATTGTGAAAGACGTGTGCCTAGCTACTGCTTAGAAGAATTCAAGAATATTTTTATAATTAATATTTGGCTGAAGCAAAGAGAAATAATTGGAAAAATAAGATTCAACTAGAGGTGGGTAATGCCTGGGCCAGGCAGGAAATCATCCAGACCAGTCTGGGCCCATGAGATTTCTCTGGTCCGGATCAGGACCAATCTTGGGCTCATGAGATTTCTCAGGGCTTGGACTGGTCCTGGAATTGAATATGCGTTAAAACTTAAAAGTTCTATAATAATATTGTACTTACAAAGAAATCTTACAAAGATTTTTATACAAAGTGAGATGACAAAAAATAAATGAAAGAGTCAAACAAAAAGTAAAACTCATTAAATTCATTCTTCCATTTATTTTTTGCCACATCACCTTGTATGGAGATCTTTGTAAAAATTTATTGTAAGTGTAGTATTACTCAAAGTTCTATCTTTTTGTGAGACTTTTAGTATCATAAGTTTACCCTAACATATACTCTTGAAACACACTTAACATTTTCAGGAGGATATGTTATTAATTTATTATTATTGTTATTTATATGAGAAGAGTTTGGAATTGCAATTGGAGTTGCAGCTTTAGCCAATGTTCTTGAAGAAAGGGCAGCTTAAAGCTGCTGGTTGTTCAGCAGAGATATCTATTTTGCCACCCTTCAGGAGAGATGCAAGCAATTTTTCGCGATCATAAAAGAACTTCACCGTCAAAATTTTCATATCTTCATCCACCTGTTTTATAATGTGTTATGCCTAAAAAATCACGCTTATGTTAGCCTAATAAATGTGTTGTCAAGCCCATATCTCTTCAAATATATTTATACCAATTTTATCTCATTTCAAAGAGATGAATGGACGAGAGTCTTCCATGTGTCAAGGCAACTTGCAAAATACTCATTACATTTTAATGTTTAGGTGTATAAATTGGCACTCATCTTCCCGAAGAGGGGGGCTGGGCATATGAGAGCTAACCATAGATAAGAGCTCAATTCTTTCTCTTCGTAAACACTGTATTTCTTCATCTTTGTATGTCCTACAGGCAAAATCATAGAAATAGTTAGAGATCAATAAAATAAAAGTGAATGTAGGAGTTGCTTGTTGCATCCGAACCACTATAAAAACCCCTATTATCAATCTTTTATTTATGTTTTCTGCAACATATATAATCTCAGCTCCATATTCAAATCTCATGGATTCATCACGTGTGATTCCTAAGTCCACTTAACACTTCTCACTTGCAAGTTGTTGGCGTCCAAAATCAAGCGTCAACACAATGAATATACATTTTTGAGTAAGTGAAAGTATTACTATATATGAAAAGAAACCTAGATAATTATCTTGTAGTGACCAAAAGGTACCTCAAAAGTGGCTATGCCCAAGAGCTCTACCATCTCTCCAGCAGCGGCATGCCCGCTAAACGGGCCCTTCATGTAACCCCATGCCTAAATTTGTAAGCAATAACTGGAGGTCCACTGTAAACTTGGAGAACCTCCAGAGCAAATCCTCTCGGAAATATTGTCGCGAAAGTCTGCATATATGATGAGGCAGTTTCATCATGAATTGTGTTGTAGAAACTCAACTCCTTTGGTAGAGAAGTCTGCCATGCTAGGATGTAGCCGCCGTCAAGCTTACTTATATCTTCTATAGTTTGAGCTTTCTTTCCTGTAAAATCATGATCAACATCTTTAAATATATAGATAGCTACATGGCAAAAATTAAATTTTTCATTTTGCATAGGTGTTGGTGTTACTTTTCAGGCTGTAAGTAAACTTGTTTGGATCAATTTTCTTGAAGTCTTGGATACAAAGTCTTGTTGATCATTTCCATTTCCCACAGTTCTGCCTTCTTCAAAGAGTTTGTTGATAGTGTTGTAGTTAGGAAGGGTACCAAATCTCCATTTGGTATTCTTTTCTTCTTCTCCTTGTAGGAGAGAACGATAATTGTCTCCCTCAACCACTAAAGCTGCCGTCTTCTTACGTTGCTGTAATATTTGCAAGATTAAGATTAAGATTGGAGTGCAGTGAATTTTTGTGTCACACAGAGAGCTCCTTATATAGGCAAAATGTACTAGACCTTGTTATTAACAATATGGCAAAATGCAGCGACACTGTTACTTAGAATAAGGAACTTTGATTGTCATCACACAACGTACGAAGTCGACATTTGGACATAATTGGCCGATGATTCATTATCGATTTTTTCTTTTCTATATTATAATGCATGAATATGATGTTATCACGTATAATCCTTAATCAATTAATTAATTAAAAATTAAATTTTCGTTCAAAAAACTTATTGTTACATAAATAACATAATTTTATTAGCAATACATTTTCTTTAATTTTCTTTTCGATTCTCTCGTTCTTTTAATCTCTTTCTGATATATGTGCAAAAGTCAAAGAAATAAGGTAAAAGCTAGAAAGAGCAGATTATCAACACGTTATTTTTAACATTTCGTCAGATTTTATTATAATATTTATCAATTAATAACTTTTGAATTTATCTTATATATGATGATAAATAATAAAATCACATTTAGGCTACAAATAATTTATACACCCCTTAAAGTATCTCCAAATGACTTTTTATATGACACTTGTCCATAAAAAATAAGAGTTTAAATTAAATTAAAGAGTGGGTTTGACTCTTTATATGACACAAACTCTTTATAATAGACTCTTTATTCTTTAAATATAAATTAAATAGTGTGTTTTGTTAAGAAATATGGGTTATTTTGTTTTATTGTTTATTAAGGGTAGATTTGTCTTTTCATTATTTCCTTTGTTTAGCCTATATATATCTCTTTGTATTTAGGTTAAATCATACTTTTTGTATTCAATTGAATTGTGCAATATCAATGAAACCCTAGCCTCCTCTTTTTATTATTTTCTTTGGATTGTTTAACATGTTTGACTCTCTACATGTAAAGAGTCAAATTTCACTCTCTATCCAAATTTTATTTAATAAATTACAAGTTTTTATGTATTTTATTATTAATTCTCTCTCCTATTAAGTTTATCTCTTATTTATTAAATCTAATTTAAAGAGTTCATTAGATTTGAATACAAATTTTATTTTTATATTTAAAAATTAATTAAGATATTTTTTATTTATGTAAAATATGCTTTTTAAAATAAAGAGCATCATTAGAAATGCTCTTATAATTATATTATAATTATTGTCACTTTTTAAATTTATGAATTATCGAAGGGAAATTGTTAGCCAACATAGTTAATGGAGAGATTATACATAATTTCCAAACGTATAAAATGTTTTTAGTCATTTAACAAAAAGTAATTTAATTGGAAAAAAATATAATCTCCAAACAAGTAAAAACAAAAGATTTTGATCTAGATAATCGCCTACTGTGACGTTTGAGTAAATTGATGAGATGACAAAATGATATGACGAAACTATTTTGTTGTCTTGTAGATTAAGATTTTGTTTATGCCTTTTATGGTTGTATCAAATATTATTTAGAATTCCATATATTTCATAGATTTGTATAACCATTACTGGTTAAAAATAATAATAGAGGAAGAAGATAGGGAAAATTTTAGAATTCAATTGTGAACATAATTTATTTAATAAATTTTACTAAATTCGGGGCCTGGAACTGGAAAGAGGTTTGATGGGGCATAAATAACAACATTCAATAAATTTATCATAATAAAATGGACTAAATCCATGTTGTAGATATGATTCCAACACTTATTACTTCGCTAGATGGCAAATGACGGAATTGACTCTAGGCTCTTTGTTTTTTTTTTTTTTTTTTTAAATTCATTTGGCAAAAATAAAATAAAAGTTTGAAAAGATTAATATACAACCATATTCTTTTAAAGTCAAATACAATTTAAATTTAGATATTTACTTAGTTGACTTAGACTTATTTTATTTTATTTATAAAGTTAGATACTTGGATTGGATTGGTTTTATAAATTGGATTTACTTAGCAAATTTAACAACTCAATTGGATTATCAAAATCCAGTCCAATCCAATTAAATTATTGAAACCATCAAAATTGGAGCGATTTGGATTGTGAAGGATTTTAGAACTACTGAAGAAACGAAGAGCAAGAAAATGAAGCAAGAACGAGCTAAAGAGTAAAGTGAATATGTTTCTGGAAGCTTGATTTTTACTAACTGACAAAACAGAAACAGTGCGGGCTAATTTATATTGCCCTTATTACAAAAAACGCAGTGTATTAGCTGTGTTCTTTTACAAAATTACAGAGGAGACATCCTTGTTTGTAAAGAT